GGGCCAATCGGGGCTGGCCGGCTAGGGGGAGGGACCGTGGGAGGTTGGCCAGCCGGCCCCTGCATTAAGCATCTGCCTCCTGGTGGTGAGTGCATGTCATAGAGACTGGCAGACATGTCGTTTGTTCGACTGGTCTTAACGGTTGCTTAGGCTTTTATATATATAGATGCCTATGCAATTCTTGCTCTTTGTCTATCTTCTGCTCTGGCCTACAAACTCTAGGGTTCAGGGACTCTGCATTTCTTGGTCACACTCTATTCACAGCTTCCAGCACAAGAACTAGTACTCAGTGGGTACTCAATAACAACTTGTAGAATGAACATGCAAACAATCACTTAAGAGGCCAAAAGGGTGCCTTTCAAGTAGGAGAGTTTTAAACATATTCACACTCTAAGGAGAGGGACTGAATCTGGAATATATAAAGAACTATTAAGTTCTAGCCAGTGTGGTTCAGTTCATTGGACGTCATCCAGTGCACCCAAAGGTTGCCAGTTCAATTCCCAGTCAGGGCACATTCCTGGATTGCAGGCTTGATCCCTGGTAGGGGGCATGCAGGTGGCAGCGGTCAGTGTCTCACTCTCATATAAATGTCTCTCTCTCTCCCTCTCCCATCCTCTTTCTCTAAAAATCAATTAAAAATCTTAAAAAGAAAAAAAGAACTATTAAAATTCAATAATAAAAACACAAATAGCTCAATTAAAAGATGGGCAAAAGATCTGATAGACATTTCTCAAAAGAAGAAACACATATGGCCAATAAGCACATGAAGAGATGCTCAATATCATTAGTCATCAGGAAATATAAATCAAATTGCAATGAAATACTGCCAATCCTACTCATTAGGGCAGAGATAATAAAAAAAGATAATAAAACAAGTATTAGTGAGGATGTAGAGAAACTGCACCCCTCACACTGCTGGTGAAAATGTAAACTAGGAACAGTTGCTTTAGAAAACAGTCTGGTAGTTCCTCAAAAGGTTGAACATAGAGTTACTGTGACCCAGCAATTCCACTCCTAGGTATAAACCCAGGAGAAATGAAAACATGTATACTCACTAAAACATACACATCAAAGTTCATAGCAACATTATTCATAATAGCCAAAAAGTGGAAACAGTCAAGATGCCTATCAAATTAAATGTACCATATCCACACAGTGGACTATTGTTTGGCAATAGAAATAAAGTAGTGATACAGATTATAGCATGTATGAACCTTAAAAACATTACGCTGAATGGAAGAAGCCAGTCACAAAAGACACATATTCTATGATTCCATTTATATGAAAATCCCGAACAGGCACAGCTAGGGGTAGACGGGTGTGGAGAAATGGGCAATGATTGCTAATGGGTTCAGGGTTTCTTTGGAATAATGAACATGTTCTAAAATTAATTATGGTAATGGTTGTTCAACTCTATGAATATATTTTTCAAAACCCACTTTATTATATACGTTCAATGAATGAATTGGAGGATATATGAATTATAGTTAAGTAAAGCTATTTTACTTTTTATTTTTTAAGTGGTGGAGAAGGAACCTGAGAGGAAAACAAGAAATATTTGGGACCCTGGGAATCAGAAAATCAGCAAGGTCTCTCAAGAAGAAAAGAAGAAAAACCCCTTCTTTCACATTCTAGGATATAAAATGCTTTCAGGCATTCTCCCAGAATCCTCAAGTAAACTGTATTCCCAGAGCTCAGAGAATAATAGATATTATCATGCCTATTTTCCAGACAAAGAACTGAGATGCCAAACAAGCAGTCAATGTCATACAACAAGGTTGGACAGACAGACCTCAAACAAGCTCTTCAGACGCTACTGCTCAGTTAAGAAAAGTGAGGCCCTTTCTGCCCTGAAATTCCAGAGAAGAGAGGGAACAGGTTCAAGGACAAGAGCACCTGTAGTGGTGAAGGGACTATTCGGGAGGAGGTGGAGGCCTCATCATAGAGGACTGGAAAATAACAGTCATTTGCTTGGTCCTCTGTCTCCACCAATCTTTATTCTTGGATCCAAATCTGTGTGTCAGATGGCAGCAGAAAAGATATCTGCAAGTGCACAAATGCCAAAGCCAATTCCAGGCTGGAAGACTGTTGTCAGTCAACCTAATGCCGGTTCTAAAATAACACTGCAGAAAATGCTACCTTATGGACGCTGAGCAGATTCCCACCTACCACCTTATTAATGTCATGAAACTTCTCACCTGGCAATGGCAGGGAACAGGAAAGCACACACACCGAGCTCCTACCATGTGCAAGGCACGGCCACACATGACCTCATTTAGCTATCATGCCAGCCTCAGGTTCTAGGTCACACTGATCCCATTCAAGTCATTGAGAAAGATCGGGGGACTTACACAAGGACTCAAAGTAGCTAAATGTCAGGCCCGATGCAATCACAGGTATATCTGTAAAGTCCATTGTCTTGCTTCTAAAACTAAACAACCGGAATTATATCCACCTCCTATTTCACTGTTACACTGCAATGATGTTCTTTTCAACAAGATACCAGAGTTCTGGCGTAAGCCTTAGGATTACTGATTCATTGACTAACCAAAGACCACAAAGAAAATCATTAAATTTTCTTCTACTTTGCATAGAATGGAGGCCACTGTGGTGATAAGAGGGCTCCACCCCACCTGAGAAAGGCAGGTTTATAACAGCCCTGCCTACCTCTAAAATAGGACTTCAGTTTTATATCCTTCTCCTCCTCTTTTTTAAAAATATATTTTTATTGATTTCAGAAAGGAAGGGAGTGGGCTAGAGAGATAGAAACATCAATGATGAGAGGAGAATCATCGATAGGCTGCCTCCTGCACACCCCACACTGGGGGTCGAGCCCACAACCTGGGCATATGCCCAGACCAGGAATCGAACCGTGACCTCCTGGTTCATAGGTTGACGCTCAACCACTGAGCCACTCAGGCCGGGCGCTTCTCCTCCTCTTAACAGCTGAGTCACTCTGGACAATTTTCTGAGCCTTTCACAGAAAAATTAAATGTGATGATGTATGCATAGATATCTAGCACAATTCTGGCACACAGAACAGACGCTATAAAATAAGCACATTTACCTTTGTTTTGAAGACACAAGCAAATAGGATAATTCTAAACTAAAAAAGATTTTCAATACATTCGGGGAAATTAAGTTCATTCAATTACCCAAACTTCCTGAATATAGAATGATATCTCCCATACAAATGGGGGTTGGGAGACCTAGTTTTCCTAATATGTAGGTACAAACTAAAGGAGCTGGGGCAGATGAGAGCATTTCTATTTTAGCCAAATTGCACAAATTTGCATCTCAAGTACCGTTAATATAATAGCAGTGTCTTTTCATATACAGTGTGTGTGTGATAAACAAATAAGATAGGGCTGGGATGAGGAAGGAAAAGGGGAAATGATAGTAATACTTTAGGGAAGGTTAGGACAGACACACACCTCTAAGTAGAGGCCAGGATAAGTGCAGGTAGAGGGGGACACCGGGTTTTATATAAATCCAGTTTTAGACAAACACAGGTGAATTTAAGTGTTCTGTTTGTATAACATAAGTAATGTATGGAGAAACTCACTTTGTCAGCCCCATGGGGGAAGGAAAGAGGACAGGCCTGACGCCCTGCCGTCTCCGGCTGGTACCCGGTGCTGAGTGCGGCAGCTGGCAGTGTCTCTTCCCAAGCCTCTCTCGTGCCTTCGTGTTTGAATCTGAGCGGGTCATGCTCCGTGGCCGTGGTCTGCACTGAGGCATCTTTCAGCTCCACCCTGGACGAGGCCTCCACCTTTACTAGCTGACCGCCCCTAGGCGACTTCAGCTCATCGTGGGGCTTGGAAAAGGAGTTGGCTTGGATGAATTGTCTGAGTTCACCTCTTAGCTGAACAGCCATCTGCTTAAGTGTCTTCTCAGTTTCAGCCTCAAGGTGTTCTCCGGAAGCTTCCTGCTCTGGCAAGCAGATTCGTTCCAGGAGCAGTTCACGCAGCACTTTCAGAAGGTCCGGCCTGTTTTTCCAAAAGAGAAAGAAGTGGGAAAACTAAGCTTCCTGCTATGTCCTTGTTCCCTACCAACTTTCCCAAGGTGTCCTCACGGACTGGCCCTGGTCCATCGTGGTGCATGACTGGTGCTCAGTAACTAGGCATTGAATAACAGGATGCTGTAAACTGCTCTTAATTGAAAGAGCAGTGGCTCTAATATCAGACAAGAGTGGCTTGAAATCTAACTGTGATTCTTTGAAAATAAGTCTTCCTCCACAGGACAGCTACGAGGATTAAACGAGAGTGTATGGGTAAGCAGATGCTTTCTCTGCCCCTTGCCAGTGCCCTTAGCCTCCCTCGGACTCCAGCTACAGCTGTGTGGACGGACAGCTCTCACAGACATGCAGTCCCACCTCAAGTGCTTCCTGCATCTCTCTGCTGCCTTGGGACTTTTCCCAGAGCTCGCTGAGCCAGCCAGCAGGGCAGTGGGAAAGTGTGGACCAGTTCGTACGTGGGGGAAACACTCAAGCAGTGGGGAAGAGAGCTGCTGAGTGAATGTCCCAGGCTCCCATCCTTTGGAGGGACAACACTAAGGCACGGTCTGTGCTGTCCCTCAGGGGGTGGACAGTAGGACTGAGCCCCAGCTGTCCACAGCAGTAACTAGAGCAATGATGTATCCTTATTGGCTTTGCCTCCATTTCTATCTTCCTTTCCCTGAGCCCTCCTTCCTACTCCCTGAATCAACATCCCAAATAAACCACTTGTACCCAAGTCCTCATCTCAGGTTCTGCTTTCCCGGGAACTCAAACTAAGCCAGCATGTAAAAGACTGTGGAGTAGTTCGAGAAGAATCCCTTGTGAGGTATTTCTTGTGCCAGGCACTGTAATGGGCACTGGGGGTACAAAATTGCCTGTGAGGACTGAGCCTGCTGTTGGAGACAGGCGTGTACACAGTCCTTCCTCCACAGGGTAAAAAGCGGATCACAGCACTGTGCAAGTTTCCGAAAGCTACAGAACAACAATCATAGGTGTCCAGACCACGGTAGCGGGAAGAATGTCATTAAACTATTCCAGAGTTGACAGAGCCTAGCCAGGGGGAAGGAAAATGGGAATACTGTGAACATGGAAAACATTTGGATAGAGCCAAGACACACTGGAGAAAGGGAGATGAGGCTGGAAAGTGAGGTGGGAGAACCAGCCATGGTAAGGAAGGATGAGCCACTGCGAGGCTCTGTGCGAGGGAGCATCACAGTCACACGAGCTCTGGAAAGATGGCTCAGGCAGGCTGTGGTGCGAAGAATGAATGGAGAGGTTTCCTGTCCAGAGGGTGATATCAGTACACACAGAAGCCCCTCCACTCTGTTCTAAACACATGTAAAGGGCAGCAAGAATACAGAACAACAAAAATGTTTTCAGGTGCACTACAGGATTCAAATTCAAGACGAAATTTATTCAAAGGTCAGAAACAGTAGAGCCCAAAGTCATGAGAAAGGGGCATTTGCAGAAAGCAGTGGGACCAGAAATTTCACTCCAACGGTAGAAGAGCCATGCAAATATCATAAACCCTACAGTAAGATCTAGAAAGTCAAGTTGAGGCAAACCACCATGCAGGGAGGAGTAAGGGTGGGGGACTGATCAGGGCTTAACACAGGCAAACCAAACTTGCCAACAAAACCCACTATGATCAAAGACAGATAACAAGCCAACAAAGCGAATTCACACTCAAGGAAATAAAAATAACAAAGCAATCTGAAGAAGAATTTTAAAATAAGCATGTTTAAATCATCTCAAAATATAAGAGAAAAAGAAATTCATAAAGAAAAGAAGAGGAGGTTATAAAATTGAGACAGAAAATTATGAGAAAAGAAGTGGAGGGATGGGGCAAGATTGGAAAGCGGTTGCTTCTTCCAGGAGAAAGATGTGGGGCAGGATGAAGTACTGCAGTCAGTAGAGAGAGAGGACAGAACAGGCCATCATCGGTGTTAGATCCCTTTTCTTCTCTCGGCAGTTTCTCCCGCCTGCCTTACTTCCAAAAACCCGTGGGACAGTGAGACTACAACTACCAACACCTCTAACACACCGTGGGCTTCCCTTGCCTGTATCTCTGCTGCCACTAGAAGTAGCAGGAGCCCATGTTTCATCTTCCCCACGGAGCCCTCTGAGGGCAGGGGCACGGTCTCACTCATCTCTGGGGCAGAGTCAATTCAACTCAAATGAAACAGCTGCAGCTCACTAAAACAGAGCAAAAAATAAAAGTATAAAAAACAAAATTAAAATGTATGGTACGTTTTTCACTTCTAATATGAAATCATCTAGACTACACAAACCATCTTAAAATTCAGTAAACTCAGACTTCAGAAATATTTCTGGTATTTTAAGCACGTTAAACTAAATTTTCCTTTCCTCTCCTTCCCTTAATATAGATTAAAAATAATGACAATTGCTATTCAGCTAGCCAAAGGAGGACCATTACTCAAGACCAAACAACACACAATAAAACCCAGGAAAAAGACTTTACAAATGGGTAGTAAAAGGTGGTGAAAGAGGCCATTATAATATACTAAAGTGCTGTGCTGTTAAGTAAAGCATTTCAAGTGTTCCTTCGCTGGAAACCTGAACAGCAGATTCATTAAGCTGTCACTGCAGTCAGGACCTTTTCAGTGGTCAGTCCCTGGGTCTTGTCAGAGCCCTGAACACTGTTTCCATGCCCTTCCTGAGCATCTTGGTCACACAGAAGGCATAAGGGAAAGGACATGTTTACGAAGCACTTACGGTGTCAGATCCTTTAAATACACTAAGTACATTTAGTCATCAGAGGAAGACAGTGAAATGGGGGCTAATGTGAACCCCATTTTACTGGTGAAGAAATGAGCTTGTAAAGAGTCAAGATCCCCTGGTAACGTGCAGAGCAGTGACTGGCACTCGGGCTGTTCTGACTCCGAAGAAGCACTGCACTCTTCCCAGGTTCCTAAAGTCATCTTCCGCTAGGATGCCGAGTCCAGGCCAGAACTGGAGCCTGCTACGAGGAGGGAAGCAGAAAAGATGTGAAGTGGCTGAATTAGGGATGCACGTTGAAGGTGGAATCAACAGGACTTGCTGATGAATATGGGGATTGTGGAAACTAGACTTTCAGCTACACCAATTAGATAGATCGCAGTGCTGCTAACTGACATGAGAAAGATAAGAACAGGGAGTTTGGTTTTGGACAGGTGGAAATGTCAAGCAGACAGCTGACAGTATGACCTGGAGAAGTCTGAGCTGTGGGTATACATTTGAAAGTCCCAAAGCGTACTCTAAAGCCATGGGAGAGGGAAGACAGAGAGAGAAACGGGCTAAGGACACAGCTCCGGGGCACTCAACATTCAACAGCCAGCAAAGGAGGCTGAAAGGCTGGTGAGGCAGAAGAGGGAGGGAGGGCTTGAATAGAGACCACAGAGAGTGGCCAGCTGCTGCTGATAAAGGCTGACCCTGGCAGCTGAACTTCACAACTTGGAGACTGTCACTGACCTTGGTAAGTGCCGTGAAAGGTATGAAAGCCCTGGGAATGAGATAAAGAGGGAATGCAAGGAAAGAACCTGGATACAGGGAATGTGAACAGGTCTTCCAAGAAAACTTGCCTTTGAGGGGAAGAAAGAAATGGGCAGTAGTTGGAGTAAAACTGGGGAAGGGAGGGTGCAGGGGGAACGTCTCCCAAATGATTGATATTAATGCATGTCTTATGCTAATGGTGATGATTCATAACAGGAAAATACAAATGATGCAGAAAAGAGAGGCCCAATGGTTTTGGACAGGAGCAGGCTATTCCTTTCTTCCATTCCAACAGGAGTCAGAGTTTGTGGATATAAAAGCACATAAGCTGGCAGCACTGGTGGGAAAAGAGAAACAGCTTGAGGTTTTTTTCAGTCAAGTATAAGGCAAGGTCGTCAGTCAGGGAGGGCAGAAGAGAAGCTGCAATGTTGAGTGCTCATTTTGAAATTAGTGATGATAATTGGATCTGTCATATGAGCACATGTAACATGAGTAGCTGGTCAAGTCAAGGTCTTAGGAAAGGGTTGGATGCAACAGATAAACAGGGATGAACCTATGTCTGGGGAGGGTGTGTTTGTTCTCGGCATATGCAAGACTGATGTGGCCAGTCAGCTCATCCTGGGAACTGAAGAAGGGAGCGTGGCGGAAGCACAGAAAGCAGGAGCAGTGCTGACAGAGCTGCAGGACAGGACACGCAGCGCCTAGCAGGCCATGCTGAGGATTTGGGTCCCAAGAAAAGTGGAGTCTCTGGGGGCTAGTTAGGAGCCTACTGCAGTGATGCTGAGCAATCTGAAGGGAGCTGAGGACGGACAGGAGGCAACAGGGATGGTGAGAAGTATGCGAATTAAGAGCTATTTAGGCCGGGGAGGGTTGGGGGGCAGGAGGGAGAGGGGTAAGAGATCAACCGAAGGACTTGTATGCACGCATATAAGCATAACCAATGGACATAAGTCACTGGGGGGTAGGGGAGGCCAGGGGATTGTCAAGGGCGGGGGGGAAAAAAGGACACATATGTAATACCCTTTGTAATACTTTAAGCAATAAAAAAAAAAGAAAAAAAAAAGAAATGAAGCTCAGAGAGGAAAAGTGTCAAGCCCAGTGGTTCCCAAGGTGCACCACACATCTCACGGGGTGGGGAGTGGGGGGTGGGGGGAGGCAATCTGATTTTAGGTGGGGGCAATTTGAGAATGAGTTAACAGTGAATTTTTGCATTTCTTATGTTTCTAGGGGGCCTCATCTACAGTGTATCCTACATAATAAAAGGATAATATGTAAATGAAAAAAAAAAGAGCTATTTAGGAGGCAGATGGTCAGGACTTAGGTTTGGGCGGTGAAGGAAAGGGAAGAATTGAGGAGGGCCCTGGGTTTCTGGGGTCCTGTCTAGAACCCCAAGATCTAGTCCCTCTCCAGCATGGACTGTACATTCAGGCACTTGCCAAATCTGCTTCCTCCACAGCCTACACATGCCAAGTCTCTTCCGCTATTTATGTGCTAACCTCTAACTTCTGTGGACCACTTGCCAGCGCCTCTGTCTGGTTCCACACAGCCATGCCCAGCAAAGCAGACTCAGATTTCCTAGGAGTAGCTGCCCCACTTCTATTACCCAGAGCTCAAGACTATATCAGCTTTTTTTAAAAATAATCTCCAAGGGCTCCCCTTTTAGATTTTCCGATATCAAATTTCACACCTAATTTTTGGCTACAAAGACCAAAACATTGACGTGATAAAATCTTAAACCATGTCCTCCAGGGAATGGAGCCAAATGGAATTGGAAGCACCTAGAGAGAGGGCTGGGATCACACACAGTGAACACCTCAGGAGAGGAGGGGCCGGCCAGGCAGGGCCTGCACCCATCCTTTCACTCCACCTCCAAGGAATAAATTGCTCTGGTTGGTCAAGTGCAAGACAACTAATTAGACTACAGTAACTACTGGACATGTTGCTTCCTTGTAGCATCCTGGCACATGGTAAGTTGAATTAGTGTTTTCCAGGGGCCCAGCTCTTCTGCTAGCCCCATAGGCCCTCGCAGAGGCCTACGGATGGCTAGAAGGTGGAGGAGCTCAAAAGCTGAAGGGAAGTCTCAGGCCTAGTCTGTGAAAGCTCTGCACCGGGGTTATCAGGTGGCTCACAATGACCTCAGAGGCATGAATCATGGGCTGGCCAGTGTCTTGCATTTGGTATGAATCTTACCTGAGGGCAGTGGGAAAAAGTAGTAGTAGTTGGTAGGGCACAATTTAAGCAGTAATATCACCTAAACCCCACTTTACTATCAACCTGGATCTATACTCTATACCCATTATTTCACTTAATCCTCAAAAAATGCCTATGGAGTTCAGAAAATTAAAGATAAAATTGTTTGTATTTACTATGAGCTTAATGTTGGTAGGTACCACAAAGTGGGAGTTGTCAACCAAGTTAAGAGAAATCTGTCCATTAATAGAAAAGTAAGAAATCAATTGCAAATAAAAAAAAAAGTTAAATACTCAAAAGCAATAATAACAAAAACAATATCAAAATAAATGAGATAAATGGGAAGAAAAAAAAAAAAGATGTCCAATGGGATGAATAAGCATCAGCACCCTGCACGTTACAAGATGAGGAAACCAAGATGGGGAGTGATGTCACAGGTCTAAATGACACAGCTGAACTGGAGCACAGGTTTGTCTGACTCCAAACTCTGCTTTTTCTAGTACAAAACCACCTACCACCTGGAGGGAATTCCAGGTAGAGGATTGGTGTTTCTCTGACTCCTCCAGAAAAGTCTCCAATGGCTCTGCCATTCACCAGCTAAGGAAATGTCAAGTCCCCAAATGTCTGCTCCCACACTGTAAAATCGAGAATAGCAGCATGCAATGCAGATATGAGGGTAAAATGAGATCAGGCATTTTACTACAAGTGCCAGCTTGGGCCCTGGCAGAGTGTGTTAAAGAAGGGGGTGCAGACCCGTGGGGTCGGCAAGAGGGCCCTTAGAGTCAGGACCCTCCTTCCCCCCATCATGGAAGTCAATGGTGCACTCTGAATGACAGCCTTAATGAGACTAGGGCAGCAGGTTTGCCTGCGTAGGAAAGCCTTTCTAATAACTAGCCTGGCCAGTGCTGGCCTGTAAATCTCTGGAACCTACAGGGAACAGGGAACTGGATCTCAGATGTCATAAGCTTGCCTGCAGGGTATTGGCCCATAAAGTGCTTTCTTTAAAACTGTAACTAGGTCTCAATTTTTAAAAATCAAAAGATTTAGAATATAATTTTTGGACTTCTACTGAAAGACCAGAAGCTCTGAGCCCGTGTGTTTGCAGGACAACAATCAGTCGGAGCTGAGAAGCTCCTGTCCACTAGAAGGGGGCACTCACACCCTAGTTTGCCCACTCCTACGACGCCCACTCAACTTTCCGAGCTCTCATCACCCAGGTACATTCTCGGTGGCCCTCAGAGAGAAAGAGAGAGTTGCATCTTCCACTCTGATGGGACATTGGGGACTCTGATGTTGAGGAAATCCTCCATTTCTCAAGCACTGACCGTGGGCACCTAGCTCCCTGTGATAATAAACCGGAAGAGCCACTGGACACGTCCCAAGAGGACTCACGCTGGAAAATATTAGACAGATGTCAGGACCGGGGAGGGGTTGGCTTGCCTGAGCTCACAAACACAGAACACTTCAATCCTTTTTCTTAGCTAAAGAAGCGTCCATGAGGCTTAGTCCACAAAGGTTATAGAAAGAGTAGGGTTCCTGACTCCTGCCAAGAGGCATGGGCGGCAGTCACCAGCTCCATCTCGCCATCTATACTGGAAGAGAATTGACAACTTTCACTGTACACACCCCATATGCCAGCCATTTTCCATAAACAGTACTTTTTCTTACTCCTCAGAGCAACCCTGAGGAGTGGTCAGAGAGGCTGAGGCACTGAGAGATGAGAGCACAACAGCTGTTGATGAACCAGAAAGAATGTGAATGGGGGGGGGGGGGGTGGCGGTGGGGGGAATGGCTCCTAAAGGATTAATTTTCAATACAAATGTACCAAATGTTTCTCCGTTTTTGTTTTAAGAAAAACACCCTGTAGTATCTCCTCACGCAGGGATGACTCCCTGCAAATATAATGAGAAGAGAATTTTAGTTCAAGCTCAACATGAAACAGCAGAAGTTACAACTACAATGGCAGTTTCTCAGCCATTGCGGAAACGGAAGCCATGTCACTGAGACTGATTCCTCTCGCCAACATCCAGACAACCCTGTCTGGGGCTCCTAAGAATGATTCCAAAGGAAGCTCGCTTTCTCCTCTTTATAACGGGCTGCATGGGCTGTGCTGAAGTCCCTCCCAGCCGCTAGCATGCAGCCTGATTACTTAATTGCATGGCTGGCCAGGCTCCTTCCCAGTCATCTCAGGAGCTTTCTCAGGTAAATTACACAGCACCACATGCCAGCTACATCCATTTAGCAAAATGAGAGTTTATTCTCCTCAAACTAGAGACAAAGCAATGCCTAGGCCCCATGTCTACCTGGATTCCAGTAACAACGTGGCCTTCTCATTGATGAAAGGGGCAAGCAGGTTCATAAGCTCGCCTTCCTCCAGACTCTGGTCTCCAGGGCCGCCAGGTATGTGGGCTCCATCGTAGTCCAAAATATTGGAATCTGTGTGCCTTAAATATCCATTTTTGCAGCCCCCTTTGGAATAATCCTCAGTAATCTGCAAATCAAAGTATTTTATCAAATAATGGACTCTGGAGGAGGAGAAGAGGGCAGGTGGAAGAGAGAGAAAGGATGGAGACAGAGAATAAGCAAGTATAAGTAAGGCAGAGAGAACATGAATGAGGGAGGGGAGAGAGGGACACCAAACAGTCTCTTCATGGCAGGGAGACACTCTGGCAAGAGCACAAAGATGTTTAGATCAGTTTCCTCCTCTATAAAATGGGGACAGTAATGCCACCTCCCAAAGTGACCATGAGAACAAGATGAGATGACCAACTCACTTAAGTGTGTGGCTCCGGGTCTTACCCACTACGTCATGTTTCTCCCCTCCTCCCCATGGCCCACTCTTTAGAAGTTCTTCCTAAGAAGGGCACAGAACCCAGGCCATTACCAGTGCTTTGGGCACTTATATATACTTCTGCAATGTAGCCTCCCCATTATGAAACAGAAAGCCCACTTGCTCTTTACAGATACATCCTAATTAGCCTAACTTTGATTTGCCTCATTAGGAAAGTGGAGAGTTCCTCATTCCCATGGAGATGTTATTTCCAGATCCACCTTCTTGGGTCGCGAGGGTCCCAGGGGAGTGGTGCCAAGGATGCATCCAGTTAGAGCCTGTTCTGGGCATGTCTTGAGGTGCTGCAATTAGCATTCTTTCCCCCCTTTCCAATGCTGTAAATTTCTTTACCAATCTATAAATAACTCCCCTCGACTTCATTACTGCTGGTGATATACACTAGCCATCACACCCCTCTCTCCACACTTGTAAAATGATTAAGGTTTTATTTATTTTTTATATCTTTTCATGATCTTTATTTTTTTAATTAAACCTTTATTGTTCAGATTATTACAGTTGTTCCTCTTTTTTCCCCCCATAGCTCCCCTGCACCCGGTTCCCACCCCACCCTCCACCCTCACCCCCCCCCGCACTGTCCTCATCCATAGGTGCACGATTTTTGTCCAGTCTCTTCCCGCATCCCCCACACCCCTTTCCCCCCCCAAGAATAGTCAGTCCACTCCCTTTCTATGCCCCTGATTCTATTATAATCACCAGTTTATTCTGTTCATCAGATTATTTATTCACTTGATTCTTAGATTCACTTGTTGATAGATGTGTATTTGTTGTTCATAATTTGTATCTTTACCTTTTTCTTCTTCTTCCTCTTCTTAAAGGATACCTTTCAGCATTTCGTATAATACTGGTTTGGTGGTGATGAACTCCTTTAGCTTTTCCTTATCTGTGAAGCTCTTTATCTGACCTTCAATTCTGAATGATAGCTTTGCTGGATAAAGTCATCTTGGTTGTAGGTTCTTGGCATTCATCATCTTGAATATTTCTAGCCACTCCCTTCTGGCCTGCAAAGTTTCTGTTGAGAAATCAGCTGCCACTCCCTTGTAGGTAACTAACTGTCTTTCTCTTGCTGCTTTTAGGATTCTCTCTCTGTCTTTTGCTCTTGGCATTTTAATTATGATGTGTCTTGGTGTGGTCCTCTTTGGATTCCTTTTGTTTGGGGTTCTCTGCGCTTCCTGGACTTGTAAGTCTATTTCTTTCACCAGGTAGGAGAAGTTTTCTGTCATTATTTCTTCAAATAGGTTTTCAATATCTTGCTCTCTCTCTTCTTCTGGCACCCCCACAATTCGGATGTTGGTACGCTTGAAGCTGTCCCAGAGGCTCCTTACACTACCTTCGTACTTTTGGATTCTTTTTTCATTTTGCTTTTCCAGTTGGGTGTTTTTTGCTTCTTCGTATTTCAAATCTTTGACTTGATTCTTGCGATCCTCTAGTCTGCTGTTGGAACTCTGCATAATATCCTTTATTTCAGTCAGTGTATGCTTAATTTCTAGTTGGTCCTTTTTCATAACCTCAAGGGTCTCACTAGATTTCTTGAGGGTCTCACTACATTTATCGGCGGTCTCACCAGTCTTTTTGAGAGTCTTACTAAATTTATCGGCGGTTTCTAGAAAGTTCTTGAAAAACCTTAAAAGTGTGGTTTTGAACTCTATATCCAGTCGTTTGCTTTCCTCCATTTCTGTCATTTGTGACCTGTTTCTTTGTCTCCGCATTTTTTATGCTTCCCTGTGTTGGTAGAGTGGTTTTGTGTGCTAGGTGTCCTATAGGGCCCAGTGGCTCAGCTTCCCCAATTACCTGAGGTGGACACTCTTGGTGCACCCCTTTGTGGGCTTTGTGCACAGTCTTGTTGTAGTTAAGCCTTGATTGTTGTAGGTAGTATCACTGGGAGGAATTGACCTCCAGGCCAATTGGCTGTGAGAATCAGCTGTGTCTACAGTGGGAGAACTTCTGTGATGAAGACACCCTTATGAGGCAAGACATGCTTCAGTGGAGCTTTGGTGCTCACTGAGTCTGCCCCCTGAGTGTGTCCCTTATGGATCTGAGGAGTTGTAATTGGATGGTTCCACTCTGACCACTGGGTACACGGGCTCTTGGATCTAAGGAGGTGCTAATTTAGCCTCTGCCTGAGGCTACCCAGCAGGAGCTACGAAGAGATCTGCAGATTCCCCTTCCTTGTTTGGGGTTTGGAGGTGCTCAAATGAGGCCCAGCTGTGAAGCAATGTAAGCTGCTGTGGGGCCTTGGGCCTTCTCTTGGAAGTTCTGGGTCTGTCTGGCCCAGCTGCAGTTTGTTAGGTTATTTTCAGATTGCAAAGGGCCAGGGCATTCATATGCAAAAGCCTCTGCCGCAGCTTGGGTGGGGCGGGGTCTCAGGGAATCAACAGGGCGGAGCTAGCAGCTATGGCTGATCCTCAGCCCTGCCCTAAGGGGCCCCCCGCATCTCAGTGTCCCGGTAATTGCTGCAAGCACCTCTGAAAGAAAGCCGCCCTCGAGTTCCGAGTTCTGCCCGCTGCCAGACAGTCCAGTTTCTCCCCGTATGAGTCTAGGTCCCCAGAGACTCACCCGGAACTGGAGTTCAGAGCAGTCGGGGGCTTGTGACTCCCTCCCGATTCAAGACAGCCGCCGCGTCCTCAGTTGCCAGCCCTTGCCGCGTGCGCCTCCATACCTCTGCACTTCCGCACGTCCTCTGAGTCTAAGTGTGCTTTTCTCTTTCCTTCTAGTTGTAGAATTTCCACTCAGCCAGCCTTCCTGTGGTTCTGGATGATGTCCGTTTTGTCTTTTAGTTGTATTTTTGAATTTGTTGTGGGAGGCAGCAATTTCCGGTGTTTACCTGTGCCGCCATCTTGGTTTTTCTGATTAAGGTTTTAAATGAAAGACAAGATCTACACAAATGAGCTGTTATTTATAGGATCTTGTGTGCCACCAATCTAGTTACTAAATCCATCTAAATAAGCAACCTCCCAAGAAGGAAAAGTCTAGAACACACTAATAAAAATAGTAACCGCTACCATTTACTGAGCACTCATATGCATTTCTATGTAAATATCACAACAAGTCTAACAAGAAGTGTTATTATCTTCATTGATGGGAAAACCTGGGCTTAGAGGCTAAGTAAGGGTTAACCAGGGTCACAGAGATACTGACCGAGACCCAGAATCAAGTCTCATTCCAAAGCCCTGCCTTTTAACAGCTTTGCTCTCCATAACTATCTACATTTTAATGATCTCCCACTCGTGACTCCATGAACTTGAACACTGTGAAGGCTGCAAATGTCAAATCTGTAGCCTCCTAACTCCCACCACATCCCAGTCTTTAGGATCTTTTTCAAACTTGGAGAGTGTTTGCTCCAAATATTCAGTATCAATGTGACTGGAGGAACATTCAATGTGGACAGAGTCAAATTCTCATTGGTGCTGGTCACTCAGGAAAGTTACTCTCCCTGTAAAGCCCTATTTTTATTTGCAAGTATATGTTTGTTTACTGTTTCATTACTGCTCTCCCACCCAGTCAGTGACTTCTGAGAAGGAAGGGACCTAGTCTCTCGGCTCTCCACAGGCACACAGCAGGCACTCAATACAGATGGAATGAACAGGAAACCCATGGGACACATCCCAGACTAGACGACTGGCTTGGGCACAGAGAGAGGTAGAGGGGATAAGGAGTTAACTGCCGTGTTCCTACCTTATTAGTCTGCTCCAAATGTGGGTCACTCAGGGAAGTACTCTCGTCACCTTCTCCAATTCTGATCGTGTCCTCGTCTTCCTTGCCAGCCGGAAGCTACATGGTGCGTGGAATGGTGTGAAAATGCAACCCAAAAAAGGATGTAGCATGAATATGTATGAATAAGTCAGCGATGACTTTTTTTTTTAATGCAAAACAAAAACAAACCAAAAAAGAGGCAAAAACAAATGCCAAAGCCATGAAATAAAAATGAACTAAAGTTAGAGTTGCTAGTTCTGGAAATCACACACAGCTGCCTGGGACCAGGCATAATTTAAGGACAAACTCCCCAAGAAATAACTCAAGCTATTTTCCCTGCTCTTGCACGGCCCCCCCAGAGCTGCTGCAAATGGAATATGCTGTCTGTTGTCCTGCTGTTGCTGAATTCACTTTCAGATTACATCAAAGTAACAAGATTTTGGAAAATAGCTATTGATGGGATTGAAAATATCAAATAGCGAGAAAGCAGTAAATGAAATCTATGGTTTATGCACCACTGCTTCTACTTTGCACAGGGCATCAACCTATCTTTGGAGTGTCACACATCTGAGATGGACAGTCCCAGCAACACTGTCATTTTGCTGACAAATGTCCTCATTGCTAATAAAGAGTATCAGGCTTGCCTGAGGATAACTTCATGCTTTTGAAAACGAAGGACAGTTATTTATAAGAAGTGCATAAATCCCTAATGCTTTAAAGAAGTGCAATTCCCAAAGGTTCTGCAGAATGCAGAACAGACAGTACGAAGTCCTCTAGAGGGCCAGATCTCTGCTGTCTGGAAGGGTGAAAATTCTAATCATGTAGCACCTGGGTTAACCAAATAAAACATGAGAGGAAAGGTGGCCATACCCAGGGAGGGAATCAGTCACAACTGTCTCAAAAAGTATACCAAACCCCATTTCACCAGTGTTAAAACCACAGACCAAGCGCGGGGTCACTTGCTAGGCATGTTGAACATATGAGATGTCTAGGATTCTAGCACCATAGTTTTATTCTATGAATTTATACATTTAATCAACTACCCATAATTCTCCCAGCCCAACTTAAAATTTTCTAATCTTCCTTTTAGAGGAAACTCTTGTTTTGGAAGAAGAAAAACAAAACACAGCAAACTAATATCAGAAAAGTCATTTTACAGAAAATATTCCAGGATCAGAATATATTCAATCTAACCACATCCAAATCTGCAACGAGGATCAAATAGAATTGATGATCAGAAATCATATCTGTATTAACTATCAAGCAATAAGCAGACTAAGAATACGTAAGTATACCTATTAGGGCATACAAGTTTCTAAATACAGGGGAGGAACCCACTCCTGCTATTGGCTTCTTCCCTCATTATTAAAACTTTCTCAGTTATATAGATCAACCAGGACTGTTAAACTTGTTAGTGAGAGTATAAAATGTTAAGCCACTATGGAAAAAATACTGGCAATTTCTTATAAAACCAATAACCCAATGATCCAGGAATCCCACTCCTAGGTATTCATCAAGAGAACAAGAAACATGTCCACATAAAGGTTTGCATATGAATATTCATATCAGCTTTTATAACAATATCCAAAACTCAGAAACAATCCAAATGTTCATCAATAGCAGAATGAATAAACATACTGTAACTTATTCATATATTAGAACACTACTGAGCAATAAAAAGAAATAAACTGTTGATTCATGTAACAACATGGACAAATCTCAAAAACATGCTGGGTGAAAAAGCATTACACAAAAGAAAGCACCCTTTATGGTTCCGTTTATGTAAAGGCACAGTCCAGGCACAACTAATCCAGGAGAACAAGATGAGAGAAGTGGACAGGGTGAGGGTGGGGATTGATTAGAAGGGCATGATCTTCCTAGGGATTGGGGTTACAAAGGACATATATTTGTAAAAGTTAGCAAATGCAGACTTACAGTTTATTCATTTCACTGTATGCAAATTTAACCTTAAAGAAAAAATGACTACAAAACATATTAAAGTTAAAGATAAGCATGTTGGAGCACTTAGGGGAAAGTGTACTGATGTTTGTACATTAAAATTTATCAAAAAGATAAACTGAGTGATGATGGACAGGTGGGAAATGTTAAAAGAATTTAGATCAGGGGTCCTCAAACTATGGCCCGGGGGCCACATGCAAATACAAATATTGTATTTGTTCCCGTTTTGTTTTTTCACTTCAAAATAGGATATGTGCAGTGTGCATAGGAATTTGTTCATAGTTTTTTTTTAAACTATAGTCCGGCCCTCCAACGGTCTGAGGGACAGTGAACTGGCCCCCTGTTTAAAAAGTCTGAGGACCCCTGATCTAGATGGTGAGACTACCCTGATTATAGTCTGCTCAAATCACTACCGTATGTCAATTCTCTCTATCTCCTTTTTTAAATCCTCACCCACGGGTTTTTTTTAATCTTTATTGTTGAAAGTATCACATATCTCCCATTTTTCCCCTATTGACCCCTTCTAACCCGCCCCCAACCCCTGGTGATATTTTTTATTGATTTTGAGAGAGAGAGGAAGGTAGAGAGAAAGAGAAAGAAAAATATCAATGTACAAGAGAAACGTCAATCGGTTGCCTCCCATCAATACGTGCCCAAACAGGGGATCGAACCCACAATCTAGGCATGTGCCCTGACCAGGAATTGAACCTGCAACCTTTTTGGTACACAGACTGTGGCTCCAACTGAGTCACCCAGCTGGGCCTGTATGTCAATTCTCAACCATGTTTTTCTATAATACATAAATTAATAACCAGTAAATAAATGTAAAGAAATAGGAGCAACCTCATGAGAGATTTTAAATGCACTGTAAAACAAAAGAACACCTGTGCATGGTCTTTGTGGGTGGTCTGAAGTAAACTGCCAGGCACAGGGCAGCAGCGGGCTGCAGCAGCTGGAGGGCATCCACGCCACAGCAACCATTTTGAAGATGAACCTGACCAACTGTCATCAAGGGCCTCCTACTATTTGGACCCCTTTGTCAAATTAAAAGTTGTGGCAGGAGGGCATATAAAAATAAATGATATGCCTATTTTATATCTAAATCTACTAGTATTTGTACTTCAGACCTAGTAATTACATATCTGGAAATAAAGCCTAAGGAAAAAAATCCTAAACCCAGAAAAAATTTGAGTCCAAAGGCAGCAGGCAAATTTAAAATAGTGAGTCACTGAAAACAATCTCCATGTTCAGCAACAGCGAGGCAGTTAGTTAAATTTCAGTGCATTCGTAAGATGCTGTAACATAACAGTGACTGGAAAAACACAAGAAACAAAACTGCATAGATGTCTTGTGGGCATGCACGTGTCCATACACACAAACAGAGAAGGAAAGATGCCAAAATGCGAGTTAACTGTGAGTGTTTTCAAGTGACAGGATTATGGGGTGATTTCTTTTCTCTGTTTTCCAAGTATTGGGTAATGCTGTGGGTTAATTAAATATTGGAGAAAAATACCGAATTTATCATACAAACTATATTTGCCTTCGTTGTTTTCCTTTTCTGATTTCTAGGCTCCCAGAGAGCAGGATCGGTGCCAGCCCCACTCTGCAAGCCATGCTGCTCAGAAGAGGCGTGGACACAAGCACATCCAGTGTTCCTGCCTCCTTCTCACAAAGGAGAACCATGCGCCCTCCCAGGGAGGCAGCCGCCCCTCCTTGTCACCCACCCTCACCCCTCACTTCTCCTCCCTGGGCTCAAGGTTGTTGTGGGAACATCCCCCTTCCCATTGCGGGGATGGCGGGAACTATGCTACAAAGGACAAGGCTACTCACAGGGAACATCAAATTGAAGTGCAATCTGACATATTACTCAAATCTGAACCGGCTGGTATGAAGACCTCAGAGTGGGAAGAGAAAAAGGCCTCTGTTCTCCAAAGGACACAATGGGACATTTAACAGATTTTTCAAAGGACAAATGAACAAACAAACTTGCCATTTACCACTCAAATGAAGTAGGTGAAGAATGAGCTGCTTATTAAAAATGCTGCCTTGGAGAAAAGAAGCCAAGAGACTTGTTTCTCCCTAAATGAATCGCCGATATTCTTGGTTTTCAAAATGCTCCGGAGCCCTGGAGGCTTAGATCAGTAACATTCCCTCTCCAAGACAGCAGATGGCCAGCGCAGCTTCAATACCTTTGAGCATTTCCCACGTGGAAGGTGGGAGGAGACAGCTTAAAGCCGACAAATCTTTCCCCAGAAATGATGTGGCAATGAGACGTCCATTGACATGACATGCCAGGCTGGTTCAAGACAACTCTGACCAAGAAGATTCCAGGGGCCCCAAACAGGCCCACCTGCATTTCAGCTGAGAACAATTCGTCTTCTGAAAAAGGCTAAAAGATGCAGGGGGTAAGGCTCTTCAAGCAGAGAGTTGGGCCAAGTTAGGGGCGAAAGGAAGGAAACAACAAACTCTGCCTCACTGTCACAACTTTGGGGTCCTCCCATCGTACACCACGGGCTGAGAACAGAGAACATCAAAGGCAACACATCGCAAAGATGAGCAGAGACCAGAGTCAACAAGGTGATCAAGGCTTCCCTGGTCCTTCCTTGGAGCAAACTAACAGAATGGGCCTCTCTCCCTCGGAACACAATCCCAAGGAACTACAGGCTGCATCTACACTACCCAAATTATCTGGGTGATTTGGCAACTCTCCAATCCCTCAGACCGCACCTCTCTTCCAGATGTGCCATCTGCAGCACAGACCTCAGGGTCAGGCTTCGAGTCAAAGGCATCACAATGTTCTGATCATGTCCACACAAACATGACCCAAACTTGAGGAAGCCTGTGGACAGACCTGCTGACCCGAGAGGGCCCTCAAAACCCCAACCACAGCCGAGGGAATTTCTCTAGAGGCTCCCCAGGACAGGCGCAGTCTTGAGAAATCTGGGGGGTTGTTATTTTTTTGTAATTAGCACATGACAAGGTCAGTTTTTCTTACCTCCACTTGTTCTGTTGACTCAAGTCTGTCATCCCCCTGGAAGCCCAGGCAGGAGAGGTCAAAGATGGTTTTCTTCAGGTGCTGGTTGTCTGTATACAGTTCCTTCACGAGCTGTATGAGGTCGCTGACCTAGGAGGTAGGAGAGAGAACTGGATACCCACAAGCAGACTTCAGCTTCCCAGGACCACACTCCTGGGCACAGACCTTCCTACTGAGCAGACCTTTCAGCAGCACAGCTTGGAGAACCAGGGGGTCTGATTCCAGGCTTCAGGCTGCCCTGAGGACAGTGGGGGGAAAACACCAGCATGCCTGTCCTCTAATCCCAGAGCCAGAACTTCACAGCAGAGGTGCTGGGCAAGTGGCCTAAGCTAAGCCTCCAATACCTCATCTGTGGAATGGGTTACTGCGAGAATTGAGTCAGATCATGGTCTCAGTGCACTAAAGTCCTTGGTACAGCTAATAACAGTTAACACTACCTTGTACTTGAGGCCCCCGGGAGGAAAATGCCCGAGAATAAAGTTTCTGAGACTGTCAGAGCCTTACTTTACAGCATCGCCTTCTTTGTACACTTACCTAGCAGTGTCAGTAATAATAATAGTCTTCAATTACAAAGCAATTTACAGCTACTAAAATACTCCCACAAGCTTGAGTCGATTATTCTTTTCAAAAATCTTGAGGAGGTGGATAGACTAGTATAATTATCCCCATTTTACAATGAAGAGCCTGAGGTGGAAAGACCTTCACTGCCCTAGGTCCCACAGCTGGGGGTGCCTGGAGAACAAATGGCAGGTAACAGCCAACGCACCTCACCATGTGGGAAAGGGCAGCTGCCTCCACAGAGGCACAGCCAGGCTGGAGCTGAGATCTGGAAGCTCCCTGCCCAGTGCTCCTCCTTAAGGTACAGGTCTTGCTAGGCCAGGTACATAAGCAATTGGGCAGACACTACCTTTGTTCCCAGCAAGTTTCAAATCCCAATGGCCAGTAATTTCCCAAGGACTTCTTAACTGGGTAATCATTAGCCCCTCAATAAAGTGGGAAATCCTACCCACCCAGACTATCTATAGCAGACGTTCAAAATATACCAACACCTGAGTACAAACTGAACCCGATCCTCAAGGTTATAATGGGAAATATAAGATATTCTGATCCTATAAACACTATGTGACACTTACCACATGCCAACCAAATGAACAACTTCCTGCCCTTAACACAGCCACAGTAGGTACTAGCAGCAGCTATATCGTCCCCATTTTCTTTACCTTCAAACATTAAATGCCTCATGCTCCTTGCTTTACTCCTCCCACAATACTGAAAATTTCATAATTCTCATTTCTACTAGTATTTCTTACTTCTGTGCCTTACACCGGCTATTTTCCCCTTTTCTGCTAAAAAAGCCCTTTACCCAGACAAACTCCTATCCATTCTTCAAAACCCACTTCAGGGCCTCACTTATGCTGAGACGCTTTCTCCCCAACCCCAACAGTTAACCTTTCCTTCTCTGCTACCTCCACACCCTGCACATCTGCCTATTACAGCAACCCCTGCACTCCACATTGCAATTCCTTATTTACAAGTCTATTCACTCTATCAGAATGTAAGTTATTCCAAGACAGAAACTGAATCTGTCATACAGGTATGATAATTTTACAATAAAACAGTCTCCTCTGAGCTCACACTTCCTATTCTTATTCTATTCTTAGAACCTTGAAATATTAAACCACTCTAACCACACCAACAATCAAGAGATTGAAAAACCCTTTCAGTTTTAAAAAAGAGTTATTGATCAAACTTGAACGTTTATTCTTTCAAAAAGCATCTATTAACTCCCACTACGTGTGCCAGGTACTGGAAAACCAGAGATAAATGGGGTGCTCACGGCCTAGCAGAGGAAATAGACAACACCCCGATAAGTGCAGACCCGCATGCGAAGGGAATCGATGTGCCTGGTACAAGAAGAGAGGTGAGCGACCTGAGGGAAAGGTGGCCCAACTCTACGTGGAGGGACTGGAGAGCGTGTCCTACAGCAGCTCGAGCTGGGCTGGTCCTTGAACCTAAGGAGTGTATCAGACCTGGGGAGGCTCTCCAGCTAACGTGCATGAAGGAGCAAAGGCAAGCAGGGAGGAGAGGGAAGAAAGGAGAGAAAGGGGGTTTGAGAATCTTACACCTCTGATCAGGAACCCAAGAGACAACAAATAACCAAAAGAGCATTGAAAGTAACAGGCAAATACCTTTTTCTTAAGTTCTTCTTGAGAAAAATGCTCCACTTGAAACCGATTGTGCTCTTCAAGGCAAATACTTAGATAAGATGTTTGATCACTATAAAACGAAAATGGTTCTTCTGCTAAAAAGAAAACAAAGTGGCGGGAGGAGAAAAAGAAAATCAGAAATAGATCCTTCCAAGATCAGTCCCAGTGCAATCCATCTCTGGCAGTTTGAGTTGGGTGGGGGTGGGGTTAGAAGGACAGAAGTAGGCATAGGGAGTCTAAGCTTTGGAGCAAAAGTAATTTTCCCTTCTTTCTCTACAGGCTGATGTCTCAAAGTGTGGTTTCATCATGGGCTGCAGAAGCTTTCACTGTAGCCAATTCTGAATTATAATTTGCATATCAAGTGTTGTGCCTGAGTGGCACAAGAAAGTGGTGATTTCAGTTTAAAGGAGGGAATGATTCTGTTTAGGTGAGAATACAGGAAAATTAGATGTGACCTTCAAGGGTAGAACTCAAGGGAAATAAATGCCTAATGTATTTTTTACTGGCCGCAGAGCCTCCATGGTAGCGAACATACCCAGTGCAGAAAATGCCTGCTACATCTTAGATAAGAGAGTCGAGTCACCTACATAAGCGCCCGCTTGCTCTGCAGCAGCCGTCTTCAACCAGTGTTCCGCAAGAATGTTTAAAACATGCAATACCCGACTCTGTAGTCAGGGGCACTGACCTCTTTCCCCTTAGATTGTCAAATAAAAAAATGACAACAGCCAACACAACAATAGCCGTCCAGTGGTGTGAATAAACCAAAATTATACCCTTTTGTTGTTGTTGTTAGATCAGCAAAAAAAAATATATTTTGGTGTGCTGCAGAATGTTATAGTTAGTTTATGTGCCGTGAGATGAAAACAGCTGAAATTGCTGCTCTGCAGCAAAGGTCACATTCTAATAGGGAGGGAAGGGGCAGGCTGTTTACTGAGTGAGGCGCATCCACAGACATGACCTCATTTAACACACGGGGTAACAGCTGCTACACTTAATGCACTAGGAAGAGCTGCACTTCAAAGGAAGATGTCCTGGCTCACATCTGGGTAAACCAAGTCCCACTCCACCCCTGAGCCTCATTTCTTCATCTGTAAAATAAAGTCAATACCTACAGACTGGGAGAGAAAACACTGACAGTCACCATGAAAAAGGACCCGCAGATGAAATCCTGTGGTGACTCATGTCCTACTGGAGTTTAGGACTCCCTTAGAGTGCAGTCCCAGTCCTCCAAGTGGAAAAACCAAAGAGAAATAAATACAAGAGCGTGTACCTTCCCGCCTCCGTATTTCACTGATCTGTTCCTCCAGCGTCTTTTGCAGATTCCGATAGGTGAGCACATCCCGCTCCAGCTGCTTCCGCAGGGCAAGGATGTTGTTTAACTCAGCCTGCAGGTTGCTGACACTTGGTAAAATAAGACAACAGAAATTAAAAAACAGACCCATTTGTGCTTTAAGATGCAAAACCCTGCCAGCCTTCCCTTTGATTTTTATGTCATTTGTGGTTGTTTCTGTTTATAAAAGTAAATATGTTTATTATAGGAAATTTAAAATATAAGACAAAAGAATAAACAAAACAAAAATTACCATGATCCCACTACCAATAAACACTTGGTAGACTGTATTTCCTCCCAATCTTTCCCCCTGAGTATTATTACAAGGTTGAAATGGATGTGCAATGCTAAGTTGTGTGTTCCTCACTTAAATATTTCCCTACACATTTGGAAATTGTTTGCAAACATCACTTTTTGACTCTGTAGCATTAACTCCTCCCCTATCAGTGCGCATCGGGATCACTTCCAGGTTTTTGCTACAGATGGAAATAAGTGAAAATAGTTTAACTCTGCAGAATGTCTCTGTTGGGAAATGCCTGTGAGGGCTTGGGCATAAAAAGGGAGGCTCTCCGGAGCCCGGTGTCACCTGGCCCCCGGGCTTCAGAAGAGAGGAGACAAGAGAGAATGTCTGTGTGTCACTCCAAAAAGAGGTGGTATAGGGTAAGGGTGAGGGACAGGAAGGGAGAAAAATGAAGAATAAAGAAAGTCAATAAAAAGAGGGAGGGAAGGACCAATTTAAAGACCAACAGAACTCCACTGTGGTTGGTCAGCCCCGCCCAAATACATGGTGGAATGGGTTATCTTAGGAGGGAGAGCCAAGTATGACATCAGGGTGACTGTGACACAGTGCTAAGCTATATAGAGAGCAACCTGGAACTCAGAGGAGGCCATGAAAATGCACACCTCCCAGAACTGGCATTGACCTTGGGGAGGACTGTCCAACAGAATCCCTCTGACGATGGAAATGTTCGGTGTCTGCACTATCTAATACAGCAGCCACGAGCTAAAAGCGCCTACAGAGCATTTGAACTATGACTAGCACACCAAAGAACTAAATGCCTAATTTTTTAAAATTTAAACTTAAATAGTCACATGGTTAGTGGCTCCTAATTGGGCCATGCACGTCCACAGGAAGGACTGTGAACTCCTACTGCTGTGCACACGGCAGGGGTCTGAACTGTTACCCCAGCTCTCAGAGGAACAGAGACTCCAGCCGAAATCGGAGTAACATAAACAACGCTTCACTGAACTCGGGGCCTAAGCCTTGTTCCACACTCAGGTTAGTTTCTTAAGACAAGTTCCCAGCAGTGCAATGACAGTTAAACTATATGAACATTTCTCGAGACTACCAAAACACACTAACGCGTCAGAAAGCCTCCTTTTTCGGACACCAAGTAATTTATCACTCCCTACCCAGCATCTGACCCATCGTTCCCTGAGAGTGTCCATCAGCACTTTGGAACTGTCTATGTGGCTTTTTCTAGGAAGAGGGCCCGTAAGCTTTCAACAGACTTTTCAAAAGGAGTCCACACCCCGAAACAGATACAAGCTATTGCTCTAAGTATGTGTGCTGCAGACTCAAGCCCCACTTCTCCTTCACAAATTTCTTTCAGCTCCATCCACCGGACTGCACACATAAATCAACATATATTGGAAGGAAAATAAACCATTATGTCTAATCTTCTATGCTCACTGCTTTGACGATGGCTCATTGTGAAGCCGTCTTCTTGCAAAGCCAGGGGCCCTACCAGCAACTTGTACCTACTTCCATTTCAAGACAATCATAATGACCAATTTGTCAGGCTGATGGAAAACCTTCCAGAGTGTCACAGCGCAGCACGCGCTTGGATACGGCTGGGCTGCAGACACATTTAACCAGGAAAAAGAAAAAAGGAGATTGTTTTAGCAAAGCTCGTGCGATTAGGGCTGGGAAAGCTAACTGCTTCGCTCCCTCTTCCATTCGCTGCTGCGCCCCTGTCTATTATTTATGTTTCCCCAACTCCAGAGTCTTTTCAAGGTGCAGGGATTTGGTGGAACAAAAGAAGCAAAGGAAGTAAAAGCCCTGTGCATTCCTTTCTCTGGAACGTGGTAGGGAAAGAGGCAGAAATGAGCAGTCAGAGACCCAAGCACCAAGAGGCAAACCACCAACAGCTAGCTCTATGACCTCAGGCCTTAGTCCTAATTTCCTCCTCTGTAAAACAGGGTGGTATCTTTTCTTCAAGATTGTCTTGAGGATTAAATGAGGTGTTATATGGGAAAGAACACAGCATAGTGCCCAACACATACTAAATACTCAACACATTATTTCCTTCCTTCCACATATCCTGAAAACTTCCCCAAAAAGATAACATTTGTAAGCCAAATGTCTGATTCTCATGAGTTACATCAGTGATTCCCATCTGGAAACAATCCTGGCACCCAGGGAACAAGTGGCAATATCTGCAACACTGACAGTTGTCACAACTGGGGCGTGGAAGGGAGCTACCGGCATGTGGTGGAGAAAGTCAGAGCTGTTGTTAAATGAGACAATGCACAGCCCCTCCTAACAAAAAATTACCCAGCCTCAAATCCCAATAGAGCCAAGCGTGAGAAAGCTAAGTCCCAGGGAAGCGAAAACTGTCTGAGTTCTCAAGAGATGTCTCGGGAAGGGCAGAGGCTCGGGAGCCAGGGAGGTCTGAGCTCTGGTTGTTCCAAACTGTAGACGCCTGGACAATACCCTGACCACCTCCGAGAACTGACTTCCACTCCTTGCCCCATCTAGTCCCACCCCAGCCCCAACCAGGAAGCCATGGCAATCTTGTTCCACAGTATCTCTGTCCATTTCCTCTGCTTCTGTGCTGTTTTGAAATGAACCCCAGACATCATCCCTTTCACCTGTTACTATCTTGGTGCATAGAGAGATGATTTCTTACTATGAGAAATCACTGAGGCCACCCCTGTATTTACAGATGGGCAAACAGCGGCCCAGGGCAGGCCACTTGTCTGTGGACACAGAGCTAGGGCTACGACAAGACCTCTAGCCTGTAATCAACTCTCCTCGCCACACTCCCAGGCACCAAATCATCCCAGCAATTCTGTAAAGACACAAGTCACTTGAGTGAGTTGTGGGGTTCTGTCACTCATCATCCATGTGACTTTGGACAAGTCGCTTAACCGCTCATGAAAAATGCTTTATGGAAAACAGGAATAACAGTATTACTTACCTCACAGAACTTCTGTGAGGATCACTGGAGATAATACATAGAAGCACCTTCTAAATCTATAATAATGTATTATAAAAATCTGAGTGAAAATCCTAAATTTATTGTCAAGAGTCAGACAATTCTTGCTAGAAAATAGGTGTATCTGGCTTAAACAAGGCAGTCACCATTCAAGCACTTTGAGCTTCCTAGGCAAACTTTGCTGCCTCAGAAACAACCAGCACTTATTCAAATAAGTGCTCACACTCACATATGTGTGATGTCCAAACAGAAACCCTTACCTGTCTGAGTCCTGCAGAGATTTTACCAGGTGGGCATAGATGTCCTGCTCTTTCTTTAAGACCTGAATCAGCTCTTCATAGTCTAATTGTTGCTTTTCCTGGAAATGACAATGGGTATCTGACATTAAGAGAAGAACTTTAAAAAAGCACATCCTTACATTATGCAAACCTAGGTGGGTGCTTCTGGTTTCTAAATCCAAACAAAGGTGATCCCTAGTGCCGGGCTCTGGATCAGGCCACGGTCAGTGAGCACCACCTGCAGGAGGAGTGGGGAATGACCGGCCATCACTTCCCTCTGAATAAAGTGGAGCTGTTCCCAACACTAAATAGCTATCACAGAGAACCATCATAGTTACCCTATTTGCCCATCATCAAATAGCCATCCCTCAGAGCTTCTGGTTATTATTTTCACAACACTATAGAGAATGCCTTTCCACACTGCTCTTGTTCAAAAAAAAATTTCTAAACCCAAACCTGACAAGTATTAGGAATAAGGGACTTACATTCAAGTAGAAGAGGTCAAGTGAGTCGTGCATCCGAACAGAGTGATGCTACCAGTACAGATACCTGACTGGAGCTCTGCACCTAGCAGCTACGTAACCCAGGTAACTAGTTAACAAACCCCTATGAGCTTTAGTTTCCTCATGTATGCACTGGGGATGTAATTTTATGAATTAGCCTTCACAAATGTGAATTTTTATTTTATTGATTTTTTTTTAGAGAGAGGAAGTGGGGGAGAGAGAGAGGGAGAAACATCGATTCATTGTTCCATTTATTTATGTATTCATTGGTTGATTCTTGTATGTGCTCTGACCAGGATCGAACCCACAACCTTTTCGTATCGAGACGACACTCTAACCAACTGAGTTACCCAGCCAGGGCACTATGAATTTATTTTTAAGGTTCAAATTTTGTCTCTGCCTCTTACCAGTTCTGGGACCTAGGAGGTTATTTACTGAAGCCTTGGTATTCCATCTGTAAATGGTAGACAATAACCACCACCTTGTGGAGTTATAGAGCAGATAAAGTTAAATGTGCACTATAAGGGATCCCGAGAGAAATGGTCAATGCCAGTATTGGGGCAAGAAAATCAAGGACAATACAATTCTGTAATACCAGGAAAGATGGAATTGCTTAAATAATGATGCAGTGTGTTTCCAGAAGGACAAAGGAGCCAGTCTGAAAAGGCCACGTCTGGCCATGGCCTGTATGGCTCAGTTGGTTGGGTGTCATCCCGTGCACTGAAACATTGCCAGTTCAATTCCTGGTCAGGGCACATGCTGGGTTGTGAGCTTGATCCCTATGGATGGCATGCAGGAGGCAGCCAAACAATGCTTCAACATTTCTATCTCTCTTTCCCTCTCCCTTCCTCTCTCTCTCTCTAAAAAAACAAACAAACAAAAAAAAAAAAATCAGGCACTCCTCCTCCCGGGAGCATGCCTGTGCCTTTTCCTTTTCCTTTGCCTTCCCCTTCCTCTTCTCCCTCCTTCCCCCTCTCACTCCCTGCCCCGGCATGTTACCATTATCTTCCTCGCCCCTAAGTGCCAAGGGCCCTTCCTTTACCTCCATAACTTTTTCCTAAGGCCATTTCTTCTAGGAATTACTTCTTCTACCTCTGTGATTTATCAAAAAAATGTTCTCTTAAAGTTAAAAAGAAATCAATAAAAAAAAAATTTTTTAAGAAAAGGCCAACTCTGGAATAATTTGAGCATCAAAATAAATAACAGTAGTAACATTATAACCTACTGAATAAAATATGAATTCTTGAGTCCATATTGATATGAATAAATGAATAAATGGGAAGAAGAGTGCGCTTTTCTTTAAAGTAGAACAACAACTAACAAATGTAGAAGGAATGATGGAATTAGAAAACTCACCATTTGCCAACCATCGTGGGAATTAATAATTCAGCCAAGAAACATAAAAGGAAACTAGTGGGTGAAAGTTTGAAGATCAAGGTTTTTACATAAATTCAGAACCCCCCCACACACACACACACAAAAATACTTCTTAATTACAAATGAAAATAACTATAGCTGAGACACCTGGCAGGCACCATCTTCAAAAAGTTATCAAAGTCAGCGTGGCCAGTAATGGGACAAATTGAAATCATGTGCCATCGGACAGGACACAATGAGAACACAGCACCGCACCTGTGATATTCCTGCCAAAGATGCCTAGCCACCTGTTTATGGGTCTGAGGGCTCCTGTGGGCAGCACAGTGCCTGGCACAGATCAAACGCTGCCACAATACGTGCAGACCTGATGACTAAATAACTAAGAGGCAACACAGGGACCCACATGAATCTTAGGAGCACAGAGTCTTGTGGATATTTTGCATAATGGAGTCGGAGTGAGTCAACATCTTCCTAGAAGCAAAATGTTCACCCTTGTTAAATAAATGAACTCTTTGGAGCCATTTGAGCCATTTCATCAATCACCTATTCCCTTGTGTTGAATCATGCCCCATTAGAAAGAGCTGACAAACCAATGGGTCTCCTTGGCATAGAGGCAGAGGGGTGCCAGGAGGGCAGTAAGGAGAGGCACCTCTGAGCAGGAGCAACCTCCATGCTGTCCCTCCAAACAAGAAACAACCCAGACAGGAGGCCACTCATCCCACAGGAGACACGATCACCACGCATCTACTGTGTCTGACTCTGCAGTTTGTTCTCTGCAGCCCAAGAATACCACCCAGACAGCTCACCACCATCCCCTTGGCCCATCTGAGAACTGTCCCTAAAACACAGGGACGAGAGAGGGAAGACCCCTCTCTCCTCTGCGAGCCAGACCCTGGGTCCTCACAAAACTAGTATGATTCTCTCCAGAGATTCAGAAATGTGAACTGAAACACCATCAGTCTGGGAGTTGCTGGGTGTGACTCATGTCAAAGACAGAGTCCTAACCCTGGCCAGTGTTGCTCACTAGTTAGAGCATCAGCCTACAGACTGGAGGGTCGAGAGTTAGATTCCCAGTCGCAGGTGGGTGTGTGGGCGTGCAGGAGGCAACCAACTGATATGACTCTCTCACATTGATGTCTCTCTCTCTCTCTCTCTCTCCCTTCCTCCCCTCCCTTCCTTCCACTCTCTCTAAAAAATCAATGGAAAAAAATATCCTCAGGTGAGGATTAACAAAAACAAAACAAAATAAATAAATAAAAAGACAGAGCCCTAGGATGAAGCTTCTGCTGTCCATGGGCCTGGTACAGGTTCACTCTCCCCAGGCATGGCTGCTGGACTCTCCCCTGGCATCTGCAACACCCTCCTTATGCTACCAGTAAACACTCCGGTTCACTGCTAATTTGCTCAAACTACTCAATGCTGTATATTATGTTGCTGGCAACCAAAAGAACCTTAACTAATACACTACATTATTTCTAATCCTCTCGGGAAATTAGCATGGAATTCTCCATTTTACAGATTAGGAAGGTGAGTTCCAGAGAGATTAAAAGACCTGACCCAAGTCCCAGAGCTAATAAGTAGCAGAACTGACATTCCAACACCAAAGCCGGGTATTTTCTACCCTGCCCCAGCTTCCTTAATGACATGAAGGAAACACATGCAATGTGTTGACCACAATCTGAAGAGATAGTAACAAGAGGACTTAATGGCTCACTTCTTGATAATGAGGGCAATTTAGTGGCCTGGTAGATGGGTGGTGTCTCTCTTGTAGCTATGACACAGCCCTGCAATAAAGATACTTAATACTCAGGAACTTCAGCAGCGATGTTCCAAACATGTCAACAGCCAGGATCTAAAAAGCTCTGGCTGCTGCAAGTTTAATATGGTCAGTGGTTTTACTCTCTGTTCTTCAATTCCCTGAGCATCCGCATTGATTCTCAGGATCACACAATAATTAGAAGGGAAAGAGACTGCCCAGAGTAGATGGGGACATCATTACAGCCTCAAGTTCTTTGTAGAAATGGGAAGAGGATAAAGCCTAAATTAACACAAAATGGCCAAGGGCATAGCAGAAGAAATCCACATTTTCTACAAATAAAGAACTGCAATCTGAAAAGTATACCTTTGGGAGTGGGGGGGCGGGGGGAGGGACTATAGCCTCTAACAGTTGGGATTTCTTAAACTGACACCTTGAAATTTACAATTCCTAAATGATAACTTATAAATCAGGGGTCCTCAAACTACGGCCCGCGGGCCACATGCAAATACAAATATTGTATTTGTTCCCGTTTTTGTTTTTTTTTTACTTAAAAATAAGATATGTGCAGTATGCATAGGAATTTGTTCATAGTTTTTTTTTAAACTATAGTCCGGCCCTCCAATGGTCTGAGGGACAGTGAACTGGCCCCCTGTTTAAAAAGTTTGAGGACCCCTGTTATAAATCCTTATTCATAATTTGCAATTAGTCTTGCAGAATAGAATTAAAACCTTTGCTAAAATATTTAGGCATTTTGCACAATAATTTAAACATCAGGTTCTAAATATAAGGGAAATGCCCATGAAATGACTTTACACTTGTGGTTATATGAAAGTACAAACACCACCCAGACCCAAAAAATCTAAACACAGAGAGGTGCAGATTATCCAATTCAGACTGTTCACTAGATTCATGAACATGTTATTCAACATTTACATACTTTTTACATGACTAAAACATGATGCAAAATACCAAAATTTAACTAAATGTGTCCATCTAGAACACCTGATGGGGTGCTATCTTGTTTCAAAATAGACTGTACCTTAGACAGGTTAGAGTGTATCCTAATACCCAACTAAATTTGGTCAAAATAAAATAACTATACGTAGGTTAGAATTACAAAATGTCAATCCTGTGAGGTTTAGTTATCGGATTTACCCAACGAAGTGACATAGCCAAGAGAGGAATCCAGGCCTGCAGACTTCTGGCCTGGCTCTAGCTCCTCACTAATCTATGCTGACACTCTTATTCCAAAGACACAGAAAAATGCAAACCCATAAATGGTCAAAGTTAAGAAAGAGCTCCCACTGTTCAGCCAATGATGCCCTCTGGACCGAACTGATGCTGCACACATGTAAAGCTCCTTCAGTGCAATGGCTAGTACTGATGCTAAAATACTGAAGTACTTCTACAGCCATTGTAAAATAGCCCCTGATCCATCCACCCCAACTAGCCCAGCTGTCCTGGGCCCTCCCTGTAGACTCCTAGGAACCTCTCCAAGACCCAGTAACTATAGTGTTGGTCCCTGGCACACAAGCAGGCCTCCAGGACCCTGCTCCAGCCCTACTGCCTGAGTCTATTCCCATAGCTGGGCCCGTGCTGCACCAGTTAATTATTTTGAGAATCACCCTTTGCAAAACCACACATCATGATCAGAGCCATTCATCAGAGAACTAATTTGTGTAAGAGTCTGTCCTAAATGCATGAACTTAATTAAAGTCAGCTTTCAAAACTTGAACTCCTTTCCTTTCCCATATCTGGCTGCCAAGTTGCATTTCATTCAAGCTGGGGTCAGAACAATATCTACGCATCTCTCACAAAGCAACAGAGTCATTCATTCACTCAACAAGCACTGGGCCAACCACTGGACTAGATGTTGGAGCTCAACACGAGTGTCAGTTCTCTACCTCTGAGGTGCCTGCCATGGTGCACAGGGGCTCGAGTGAGGGGAAAGCAGAAAGGTGGATTCTGTAATGTCAACACAAGAACTAAGTGCTAGGATGGGTGGGCGTGCACAGTGCTGTGCACCAGAGAGGAAGAGAGACATCACTATTAAGTGGGTTCAGGGAAGGGGCCACAGAGAAGGTGACACTAGAGGGCCATTAGAGATGTTCAGGAGTCACCGGGTGAACAAGGAAGAAAAAGGCATTCCAGGAGATGGAACAACGCGTGCAAAGATGGCGTCTTTAGGAACCTGCAAGAAGTTGGCTGTTGTTAGTGATGATAAGGAATGAAAGAAAATGGGACTGGAAGATAACTTGGACCAGATAAGGAAGGGCTGCTGTGCCCTTTTTCATGTGCGTTTGAACAGGAAAATGTTCTTAACACTTGCGATTACCTAGTACTTGAGAGGTGAACCCTCCAGAGCAAACATGAGGTTCATGTTTTAACGAGCCGCAATTTCTGTTTCCTGTGCAGTGCAAACACTAATGCTCGGCTGCGGAATGCTAATCTGTAAGTTACACAGACTCACGGCCCCTCCTCTTACCTGTTGTAAGCTCAACTATCAGCAAAAAGGCATCTGAGGCTTCCTAGATCAAAGGAATTACCAAACATGTGTCAGAAAAGAATATGAATTCGCATGTGAACGTCCCGCTTCAGGCACGCTCACCTCCGAGAAGATGCTTCTGCTGCCTGGTGACTGTTGAGAGGAGCACTTTTCTGTTATTAAGTCTTCACTCCTGAACTTGAGATCCTCCGCAGTCATTAAATAACGATTTTGCTGAACTGCTTCTGAATCTTTGCCACTGAATTTCTAAAGAAACAAAACAAATCATAAGGAAGTTTTCATCAAAAAATACATTAAGAGATTATCCCCTGCTCTTTAAGGAAAGATACTATTTTTCTTCACAATGTCTTCTAAGGAACTTCCATCATCCCCAAATACTGGCAATTACAGAACTGTAATGCACCCCATTTGTGTGTTATTACAGCTGGAAGAGCGGATGCCAGCATGGTGGTGGTCATTACAAACCTTCCTTCTGGCACCACTGAGACAGCCTCCCAGCAGGTGCGGAGAGCAAAGCCCAGGCTCTGGTCTCATGGGGCTGGGTTCCAATCCTGAGTCCCCCTGACCAGTGTGACCTCCGGGTCTGTTTCCCATCCCATGGGGTTACTGCAGTGATTAGGGAGATTGTATATCACAACCACCGAAGGGCAGTGTCTCTTGAAATATTAATAATTTGATAAAACTTGAACCACCCATATCTGTGTGGAGATTTGACTTCCAGGAAGAAAAAGGCAAGACTGCAGACACTGCTCTGGGGTCTGGTCACACATGTAAAGCTCCTTCATGCTGATGCACAATGCAGTTTCCCCGGCCCGACCCCTGCAGAAGAGGTGACAAGCAACAACACGGCAGAACTGGAGACCATTTCTCTGGTCTTGTGCCCAAGTTCAAGCATAGAATCTAGACTACCTACTTAACACCTGGTAACCCCTGAACTAGGTTTCTGCACTCTGTCAGAAATTCAGGGCAAGAACCACATCTTATTCCTTAGCCTATCAGAATTAATTCATCATGTCAAGCTTGTCAGAAAAATTAGGTGAACACATACCAAAAAGCAGCAGAGACAAATTTCTGTAAAAACCCATTGACCTGTAACAGGAAAAACTAGGAATCAAATAGCCAACACTAAATTTCTAGAATTGTCATCATATTGTTGTGCTTGTGTTACATGTTTATCTTTATTATTTTAAAGTCCAATTATACATATACTAGAGGGCGGGTGCACGGATTCATGCACGGGTGGGGTCCCTCAGCCTGGCCTGCACCCTCTCGCAATCCGGGACCCCTCAGGGGATGTCAGACTGCCGGTTTCGGCCCCATCCCCAAGGGATGTAGCAGTGCCGAAGCAGCGGTGGCGGCCCAGGAGGAGCCTGAGCAGGGGCCAGGCACCGTGCTTCTTCTGCTCATCCCAGCCCTACTGTGCCTGCTGCCACGCCGCACCGTAGTGCTGCCCCTGAGGCATGAGAGGCTCCTGCCACCACAGCTGCCAGCGGTGAGCCGGGCTTCTGGCTGAGCGGCACTCTTGCTGTGGGAGCGCACTGACCACCAGGAGGCAGCTCTTGAATTGAGCATCTGCCCCCTGGTGGTCAGTGCACATCATAGCGACCCGTCAACCGGTCAAGGGGTCAACCTGTCATAATGGTCACTTAGGCTTTTATATATATAGATATTAATAGTACTGTAAAGCTTAAATAGAAAACAGTCACCTCCACCTCTCCACTTCTCAGCTCTTAGTCCCAATCCCAGAAAAAAACAACTTGCAAATCTATAGCTATTTTGTGTTATTTACTTCCACATTTCTATATTAGCTCCTATTCCCACATTTCTTGACTTCTTACGGTGAAATTTTATCTATTGGCTCCTATCGCAGAAGTCTTAAAATTTAGCTCTTATATCATCAGCCCCCCCACACACTTTTCCTAATATTTATGTCACAATTTTAGTAAATCAATATTCTGCATTTACATTACTATGGCCATGCAAATACTGTTCATGGCTCAGCCATACATACTGAGTTCCATGATTACATTTCCTTTCCTTTTCAGTTCTTTACTTTTCTTGGAATCAGTAAAAACTGCTTTGTTCTGTTTGTCTACTTAGTTCATAAAACTAAACCATATACTTAATGTTAATTTACCTCTAAACTCTAAAACAGTGGTTCTCAACCTTCCTAATGCCGCGACCCTTTAATACAGTTCTTCATGTTGTGGTGACCCCCAATTTCATTGTTACAAATTGAACATAATTGAGAACCAAGATGGCGGCGTAGGGAGTGGTCCTGTGCGTGCTGCTCTCTCACAGCATCATTGAAACTATCAACTATGAGGTAAACAACCACCACTCAGAACCATGGGGAAGTTGGCCCAGTGGGAGATCTACAACTGGAGGAAAAGAAAGAAGCGCAGTGAGACTGAGTGGGAGCTACGGAGGCACCAAAACCAGAGGTACGCAGTCACACGCCAGGCGGGCTGCAAATGGATTCGCGGTTTTTTTTCAATCGGAAGCGGTTACGAACCCTCGAATCCTCTGGGCTTGCTCGGGGCGGGTCTCTGAGGCCCCAGATCCCACAGGGAGAGGCGGCCACGGCCTTGCAGTGGTCGGAGAGCGAGGGAAGCTCTGACGCGCGGCTGCTCGCCGGCACTGAGGGACAAGAAGTCCTGGTGTCCCGGGGAGGCGAGGGGCGCGGAGACGCCACCATCGCTATTTCCTCCGCACTGGCAACTCCCTTAGACCCCGCCCTATCATCCGGGCTGTGCCAGAGGCACAAGAGGGAATGACTGTGCTTTTACAAACTCTCAAATCCACTGAGCTGGGTTCGGGCGGGTCTCTGAGGCCCCAGGCCCCAAGGCGAGAGACGGGCACGGCCTTCCAGCGGTCAGAAAGCGAGGGAGGCTCTGGCGCTCGGCTGCTCGCCGGCACTGGGGGACGCAAAGTCCTGGTGCCCTGGATAGGCAAGGGGCCGCTGAGTCTCCGCCCCCGGCGACTCCCTGTGACCCCGCCCTACGCAATTTACATTCCCATCTGGGCTGTGCCAGACTCACAAGTAGAAACGCCTTTGCTTTTGCAAACTTTCAAATCCACTGAGCTGGTTCGGGCGGGATCATGAGGCACCAGACCTACGGGGAGAGGCAGCACGGCCCTGCAGCCATCAGAAAGCGAGGGAGACTCTGTCGCACAGCTGCTCGCCGGCACTGGGGGACACAAAGCCCTGGCAGAGATTCAAGGGGCCGCGGAGACTCAGCCAGTGCTATTTGCTCAGCCATGGCAACTCCCTGAGATCCAGCCCTAATCAATTTACATCCCCATCCAAGCTGTGCCAGGTGCACAAAAAGACCCACCTGCGCTTTTGCAGCCTATCCCAACAAATTGCAGACTTCAACTGCTCGCAGCCATGGGAGACACACTCAAGAAGCAGACCCAGGAGAACCAGGATGGCGGCTAAGGAAGAGACCTGTGCGTGCTACCTCACACAACAACATCGAAACTACCAAATATCAGACAAACACCTATCATACAGAACCATGGGAAAGTTGGCCCAGTGGAAGCTCTACAACTGGAAGGAGAGAAAGAACATTGAGACTGAGTAGGATATGCAGAGACACCAAGTACAGAGCCCAACCCAACAAACTGCAGATTTCAACTCCTCGCATAGAAAGAAGCGCATTGAGACTGAGTAGGATGTGCAGAGGCACCAAGTACAGAGCCCATCCCAGCAGGCTGCAGATTTCAGCTCCTTGCATCTGGGAGGGACGCAATCGGGGGGCGGAGTCGGGTCCAGGGCAGGCCGGGGCTGGGCCTGACTGGGCCGGCACTGTGGAACCGCTGTACCAGCAAGCGCACAAACATGCCCACTGGTTCCAGTCTCTCGTGGGGCGCTGGGGGACAGCAGACAGGCAGTCTGTGCACTTGGTGGAGGGCAGGAGTGCTGGATGTTCAGCCACCAGGAATGCCTGGAGATTTTGTCTGGTGGGAGCCGCCGGCAGGGGACAGAAGGCCAAACTTCCTGTTTCCCCGGTAAGGCTGGGATGGCCCCGGTGAGGTCGGGACAGCCCGGTGAGAACGATACAGCCCCGGTGAGGTCGGGATGGCCCTGGTGAGGTTGAAACGGCCCCGGTGAGGTAGGGACGGCCCCGGTGAGGTTGAAACGGCCCCGGTGAGGTAGGGACAACCCCGGTGAGGTTGAAACGGCCCCAGTGTGGTAGGGACAACCCCGGTGAGGCTGAAACGGCCCCGGTGAGGTCGGGACGGCCCCTGTGAGGTTGAAACGACCCCCGTGAGGTAGGGACAGCCCCGGTGAGGTTGAAACGGCCCCCGTGAGGTAGGGATGACCCCAGACAGGTTGAAACGGCCCCCGTGAGGTAGGGACGACCCCGGTCAGGTTGAAACGGCCCCCGTGAGGTAGGGACGACCCCGGTCAGGTTGAAACGACCCCCGTGAGGTAGGGACGACCCCGGTGAGGTTGAAATGGCCCCCGTGAGGTAGGG